AACAGCTGGTATTTCTTAATTTGGATGTGGCGCAACGCAAATCAGTTATTCAAACTGATTGTTTCTTAAAATTAAATGTTATCAATCTTAGAAGGTCATTTTCCTCACAATCCCATATACTTGACCATTTCTGACATAATAATAAATGTAAAACGAAAGTCGTTATAAATCATTAAAATTTCAAAATAATAAAAATCATATACCAACAAACCATTTTTTTTTGCCAAACGTTCGATGAATTTAAGCGAGAGGAGGTAAGAGAATTGGTTGCCTTTTTGGAAGAAAGTAAAACAAAAATTAAAGATAAATTCAAACACTAGGGAATGATATTATAAAATGAATTTCGAAAAATGAACTCTTGGAGGAAACGTAAGCTGCTACATGCATTTTGAATGGTTGATAAGTCAGTAAAAAAAACCAGTATAAAAGAACCAGCGAATCTGAGAATACAACCCTGAGGCATTCCTTTATATCATAATTGGATTACATTTAGTACATAAGAACATATCCGACCCTTGTTAGATATTTTTGGCGCAAACATAAAAGGTATAACTACACTTGATCACCTACCTCAAATGAATTTTCATTGCCGTTGAATATACTGGATGATGTCAAAAAAATAAAAAAGACATCCTTTGAAATTCTCCAAGACAAAAAAATTGAGTACCAAACCTATATTATGTGAAACGATGGATGTTCTACGAATAATTCATGTGATACAAATCTACTTTTTTAAATATTTGAAATTCAAAATTAGAAAAGTTAATTTATTTTAAACAAATTGAATTTTAGAAAACAGATTTTCGATGCATTTTAATAATTAATGATTTGCTGGATTTTTTTTTTTTTTCTTATCAAATATTAATAATGTGCGGCAAAAATCTTTTGTACTTCATTTGTCCAATTTTAAAGCATTGCACTGCTTTAGGAAGTAAGCATGCAACGTTAGACATGTTGAGCATTACATTATGCAAAATAAATATTTATGAAAAGACGCATATTTGTACAATCCTCAAACAAATTCAATAGGAATGGTTATCCAATAATTAAATTTTCAAGGTCCAATTTTGGGTCACATTGAACCTTACCCGCCTTTTGACTGGTGAAAAAAAAGGAGGAACTTTTTTTTTTTTTTTTTTTAGCCTTTAGGGTGTTTCAAACCAAAAAAAAACCTTTTAAATCCTTAACCCACAAAGTAATTTCCCTGCAACAAAAGTCCAACTCTGTTCAATCTCTACTTATTCTTTTTTTTCGTCTTAAAAAGATAAAGTCGCTCCTTTTTACTATATACTGCCTATAATATGCCTTTGGTAGGTTATTTTTAAAAATAGGTTAATAGTCTTTTCGAACCTTCAACTTATGACCAGATTATATTAAAGTTTCTTTCTAAAATTCTTAATCGACTATTTGATTTTTTTTAGGAATACGCTCTTCAACACAGGTAAATAATTGTAAACCCCGGGTTTGTTCTCAAAGATGTAAAATTATGAGGTTTTAACAGACTCAAATGTGTTCATCAGATCCAAGTTTTATGGAAAACTCCAGATTATTATCAAATATTTATATACTTCAATTTTTAATTATAAAATAATTTATTAGAGGAAGTTTTCCCGATCCCGGACCATGGAAAATACCTCAAACTCGCGAAGTTCTCCTCAGAGATACTCTTGGTATCGAAGCCCTTCCCCGACAACGTTTTAATAAGACTAAGAGAACTCCTTATGTACTTAATATTATGGTTGTTGGTATGTACAAATAGAATTTTATAATCTTTATTTTAATTTTTTCTTAATATTATTTTGAATAATTTTATACATTTTTTCATAAAATGAAAGAAATTCACGAAATTCATTCTTGTTGCGCGAATATTATTAAGGCGAGAGTGGTCTCGGAAAAACCACTTTTATGAATACCCTGTTCAACACACCCCTCAAAGAAGAAATCCTTCCGAAAAATCCACAATCCACACAGACAGTTGAAATTGATCCTGTACATTACGGTTAGCTATCAATTTAATCTCTTGAATTTGAAACTTTTTACAATCACATTCATTACAAATGAAAATAAAATTTCCCCTTTTTATTATAGAATTGGTTGAAAATGGCGTAACTCTTAACCTTACTGTTGTTGACACACCCGGTTTCGGTGACCAACTTAATCGTGAACACAAGTTCGTTACTTGAATTTTTTTTTGCTAAAACGTTGTTCTTATTATTATCATGGAATTCATTTAATAAATTTATACTTTTTTTCGTATAATCTATAGCCTTGACCCCATTGTCGAATATATTGATGATCAATTCGAAGCATATCACGCAGCTGAACGTAGTCCTGAATTCAGACGTGCAATTCCAGACACTCGTGTACATGCCCTATTGTATTTTATTGCCCCAACTGGTCATGCGTACGTATAAATTATATTCATTTTTACAAAATAAATTCTTATGAATCAATCATAATAATCCGCTAACTTAATCTTATTATAAAAAAAAAAAGCCTTAAAGAACTCGATATCAAGTCCCTTCAAGTTTTATCCGCTAAAGTTAATGTAATTCCTGTTATTGCAAAGGCTGATACACTTACACAAGAAGAAAAGGCTGCTTTTAAGAAAACTGTATGTGTTTCAAAATAAATGATGATTTAATTCGTGTTTTATAAATAATAACTGATTTATTCTTTATACATTGCTGTATAATAGATATCAAGAGATATCGAAGCCAATGATATCAGGATTTTTCCCACAGCATATCCTGATGATCGAGAGAGGGTAGAGGATCTTGAGGTAAAATAAATTACTTTATCATGACTATTAGCTTTGAGATAATCTCACTTAACACTAATCTTGTTTTTGTTAATTAATTACTATAGAAATACATTCCATTCACTGTAATTGGCAGCGATCAATTTGTGGATGTCGATGGTAAACAAGTACGAGGAAGGTCATATCGATGGGGTGTAGTTGAAGTTGAAAATGAAGCACATTGTGATTTCATTCACCTTCGTGAACTTCTTATGACACATGCCCTTCATGATCTCCTTGAAACGAGTCATACCGTACATTACCACAATTACCGAGCCATGAAACTTCGTTCAAGCGGTCGTCCAGAATCTATTCTTGCTTGTGACGATTCTTATGAACACAGAATCGAAAGAAGCAAACAGAGTATGGCTGAAGAAATGATCAAGAAAGAAGAAGAAATGAGACAAAACTTTGTAATGAAAGTTAGGGAGAAGGAAGCAAGCTTGAGGGAAAGAGAAGAGCAGGTAATGTCTATTAACATTTTTGAAAATAATTTTTGAATATATATAATATTATTTATTTTATTTTAAACGTGCTTTTTCTTTTTTTATTTGTAAATGTAGCTCAACCAACGCCGACAACAACTTATGGCAGAGTTAGAAGAGCAACGTCTGACACTTGCATCAGAGGAACGTGAATTTCAAGAGATGTATAACGCAAGTCGGAACGCCAGGTATCTATTTTTTTCCTAATTCCAAAATTGAACTTGTTAAAAGCCTTTATGTTAATAAATTTATTCTTCAATTCTTAGTCTCTCGAAAGGCAGTAAAATTTTTGGCAAGAAAAATTAATAATTTATAATATAATTTAATTTGCATTCATTAATTTTTCTTGTATTTTTATTTTCAATGTCATATTACAAATTCATAAATCTTACTTTTTTTATAAATCATAGAAGATATTTGGCAAATTCATACTATTAAATATATTTTATGATTGGTTCGACTTTATTTTATTATTACGGTTTTTTTTTA